AAGGGACTGTCACACATACTAAATTAAGGAGGCTGTCGATAACCGAATATGATATCAGAACAGCGGCGAAAGAGAATCAGCGAAAAAGACGATGTGGTAAAAGGAGCAGCAGTAAAAAGGACATGTTACACTGAGATGGACGCAGCGAATGGGAACTCATAATGCCAAGAATTGGTCAGCAAAGCAGGAAGCTAGTATTTCCAGATGTCCTGGTCCTTCGGAATTTGCGCCACACGATCAGCGAACATTTTACTGTGTCCTTTCATCATACTCGCTTTGTGCATACCCTGCTTATTCAAGCAGTGACCTGAAATTGCCACAACGCAATGAAACCGCCAATTTTCAAGCAGCTTTGAAGCCAAAAAAAAAAAGAAAATGTAACTGCGAAGCGTATCTGCTCACCAATTAATCCCACATAAGCGTTGTAGAAATCCTAGAGATACAAACAATGAATATCCCTGGCAAGAAGATTGGAAAAGAACGGGGGCCAGAAACCGTCTATATGCAGTTTGTCTGGTGCTGCTGGCCCACCAGCGTGGAGAGGAACACAGTCGAATTTTTATAATTAATAAAAACACAGTGGAAGCAGTGCCATTTAGATCTTCCAAATAAGCAAGCCTGCATGTACGGTGAGTTGGTAACCTGTCTGTGTTTCAACACTGACTTAGGTTTTCGCTAGCATACTCGCTCTCGCACCCCATAAGTGCGGCCTCCGCCGTACAGGAAAGTGAGCGATAGCTCACTGTGAGTGTACCATGCAGCAGGTCCGGCCCTGGCTGAAGACATCCTAAGCAAGCGTGGGATACCTTTTTGCACACACTGCTACGGAAGATGACCGTGAGCCAGGAGGACGTGGAAGTGAGTATTGCACAACTAGGCACTGTCCGAAAAGCCGAGGAAAGATTCAGAAGCGAGACAGTGAAATTCAGCGACAGCAGCGCTGAAGAAGTACGAATTACACTCAGACCATCTCTGGCAAGCAGCATCGACCAGCTCGTGCCACTCCCCTCTCTACACCTCCATCCACCGAAATTACGATTTTTTAAAAAAAAAAAAGTCAATCTCACGTTTCCAGAGCTAATTTTATCAAACTGCACGCAAAGCAACGCGTCCCAAATGATATTCAAACGTTTCTGAATAGATTTTGCGTTACATTAGTAAAAATTTTTCTCGCTGAACTTCCGTTCTGATATGTTAAGTTCATAGACGGTTCCAGCGCGGAGAGCGGGGGAGGACCTCATTCCCCCATCCTCCCATGAGGCCGCCCTGGATCTGCCTGTGGTTAAGTTGTCCTCAAATAATTTTTTCTTTTCTTTTTGCACTCCGCCTTTCCACACGAAGTCCGCCGGCAGAACGGAGCACGCTCACGTCGTGTCTTCGGGCAGGAACGAGCTCCGGGGAAGCTGCTCACCTAAGTAACCGGCGACGGCGATCATTGCCCAGTAGGTCTTCTTCTCCCAGATCGCCTTTTTGAAAAAATATCTGACTGTGAATGTGCCCATATCACCTGAAAAAGCCGAGTAAGTGAGGTAGCAAGCCCGACCTATAGCACTCCGGGCTTATCAGCCCGAGCATCGCGCATCGCCTCTAGCACAGTCTTATGTCCACTTTCAGCGAGACGCTTGCTGGTACGCCAATCCGAAATCATCAGCGTCGCAGCAATCACTGGCCACATCCATATCGCCGCCAGCTTCTTCAGCGCAACTTTCCCCATCTGTAACTTCAGACTGCTAGAAACCAGGACCCCGAAATCCCCCCTTCCCCCGAGAGCCGATGCATCCAATCGCCCCAGGTAATCAGTACTTCCAAACAAAATAACACACCACCACTCCACCGGACAACATTCTACCTGTTTCGCACAGACGACAGATCCCGTCCGGCAATTACCAAAACTCGGCTCGGCCTGGCCGGCGCCATACACAAATTGTGAAAATTTTTTTTTGGTCGTGATAGGTATGGTTGCGGCGTGGGGGTGGGGTAATCGTAGGTTGCCTCACCGTTGCGGCTTACCCGCTCCCCTTCCCCATTCGCTGCTAAAAAGTTCTCTTTATTGCAAGGATATTTTTGTCATT